CTATCTATCTATCTATCTATCTATCTATCTATCTATCTATCTATCTATCTATCTATCTATCTATCTATCTATCTATCTATCTATCTATCTATCTATCTATCTATCTTCTTCTGGATGCATGATGTGAAACATCTCAGGTCAACTGCAGTCCATCTACAGCCATTCGCTGAAGTTATCTTTCATCTGATGTAGCCCAAACTTACCCAATGTACACTTTGTTCGAGAAGCTGCTGTTCTATAAAATGTTCTTATTTAAAATTTTGCTTCATGTTCCTAAAATTAAACTTTTAACCTTAAGAGAAACCGCTACTGGCCGGCTGTTTCACTTGTAAAATGTTTCCTCCACACTATATACATTTTTCAAGAGGTGAAATCAAATACAAAAAGAGGGAAACGCAAGAAAATTAAGAAAGATTCATTTCATATGAACACCAGAGCACATAAACTAAACACTGCAGCTGTGGTACATTCAATATGAGGAATAACTAAAAAGGTCAGCTGACAGGCTCTATACTACACGTTATTTCTGGGTTTAACAGTCATGTTATCATAACTGACATCATGATAAATCAATACATTGGGGCTAGATTGATGGTGACATTAAGCCAGACATCTGGGAGCCAGTCCACGAGCTAATAAATTTTGCCAGTGTGCCCAGTGTAATAAATCTGACATACAGTTTACTCATTTGAAAAATTCAATGGCTTTCCAACAGAGAGTGATTTCCTTACAGTGATTTCCTTGATTGCTTTATCCAGTTGTCCCTTCAGGTACTGTACATCTTTGCTTCCTTCTGTTTGTGTCTTCGCTGTGCCAGCCACAGTCATTCAAATACTCTCTATCTGCTCAATCCTATTACTTAGATAGTTATTTACCCATTTCTGCTTACTTGAAAGTCAATTAAGATGACTATAAACCTTGAATGATTTTGTAATTAAGGGACGTTGATAAGGGTGAGAAACAAGGAGAGCGCAAGAAATGACAAATACCGAGCGAGGAGGGAAAGGGAGTATGAGAGAGGCTGAGGGGAGGAGTGGTAAATGCCCCAAAATAGAAACCAATTCTGGAGGAAAAATGGAAATGCAAGTAGACCTAAAAGGAGGAGTAACAGGAGGGAAGAAAAGCACAACATAATAACTGTGTTTAAGCTGGGTACAAATATTTTTCAAGCCAAGTGATTAAAAAGGGAAATACTATACTGAGAACTTAACACAATGCATATGAAGTAAATTTACACAACATCATAAACAAAGAATGAGGGCTCACAATAAATGAGTGCTAAATTATGTCCATGTTCTGACTAACTGGTGTTTGGTTTGCTTCTGTATTGATTCAGATTAATCAATATATGTGGAAGAAACTCATGACGGTCAATAGCAGATCATTTTTCAAAGCAGTTTTGTTCTCTGCTTTCTGATGAATGGTGACCACAAAATGAATGGGAAGATGACTTGTATTCTGAAGCTTCTGCACTAAACTCTGTTGCACTTCTTTGTAAAAACTTTTTGACTCAATTTTGTCCTCAGTTCAAGGAACTCTTAGCAGAGGACTGATTATCTGGGTACTGACATGTTTCTCTCTGCATGCAGTTACCCGTGTACCTTTTACTCAGGTAATATTTTACCTAATTTTGCCCACACCCAAATTTCATCCATCACCTTGTCCTTTTCCTGGCTGAGACAGGTATTACCACTTAGGCTTGAATTGATCTCTAAAGACATTATATCCAGTTTCTTCTATGTTAAAAAATAAACTGATTGTGAAATAAAACACCCTGGTCAGAATTTCCACTGTGTCCATTTTCTTTTGCCCATATGTAGAACATATTCTTGAAGTTGACAGTGACACTGACCTCTCTACTGAAGATGTGAAAGTATTTTTGGCTGATCAAGCTCTAACAACAACAAAAAATGCTGTTCTGATGGTCTGAAATGTTAGCTTTTAAGCGTAAGTAGCAGCAGATGTATGCAGAAGTAAATTATTTTTGTTTAATTGCCTCACAATAATCTACAGAATAAGAAGGGAGTCCTTATATTATACATCTAATTTTGTCTAATGACATATCAAATATATTCCGTACACTCTTTTACCTGTAACCCAAACAGTCACTCCCACTTTGAGACACTATAACCAGCTCAATATCAGAAAAAGAAAAGTCTAATGAGGTTGATGCTTTGAATTCTGTAGCTTTCAACCATGAACCAGGAAAACATTTCATTTGTATCACTGGCCAGATAAAGCTCACTTTCTCCTGTTTGTGTGGCAACACTCTCAAAGTTTAAAAAGCTGTTACCTCTGATCAGACAAAAAGCTGCATCTGAAGACATTTGTTTTGTTTGACATTCATAGTATATTGAAGCCGGTAGAGGAACAATAGCAGCGTGGCTCTATTTTCATCTGAGGAATCAGCTGGTTGGCACAGAGCGTAAAAATGTCATTTGTTTACGGGTAAAAAAAAAGATCACTGCAGAAAAGGACTTCAGTGTTTACAACATTCACCAAAGGCGAGTTATGAAGAGCAGACAATTCCTCTTTTATGCCGTTTTCATATCATCTTTCACAAGCACTCTGTCAAATCAACTTGATATTCATCTCTGAGAGTGCATGCAGGAGTTCCATTCACACCTGAACAAACTCACTTCGGGGATGTGCACACCTAATGCTGCGGTGCCCATAGAAACCCTTCATGCTCCCCCATGTCATCATGCTCCACTCACTTGCCAAACCGAAGGCCTCCAGCATGCATGTGGCTCTGGACAGTCTGCCAGCGCCCGGCCTTGCTGCCCCCCGTCACCATGCTGCGAATGCTGTCACTGCGGCTCGGGCCTGCCCCCGTACCAGAGCAAGCGCCACCCCCGCTGTCACTGGTCCCTGGTGAGGGCCCAGCACCACCCTGCCCACCCCTATCCACAGCCCCACTGGCAGGAATAGGGGGGGGGGGGGGGGCAAAAGAAAAAAAAAAAACGGAAGGAAGGGAAAGAAGGAATCCAGAGAGGATAAAAAAAAAAGGAACGACGAGAGACAGACGCACAAACGTACAGGGCCAGAGAGTAAAAGTGTCATCAGTAAAGGTATCTTAACCAACGATTATCACATTTCACCTGACTCGGTCCAGCCACGGGTTTGAAGATTGATTTTCTGAGATAAGCAAAAACACAATTCACCCAAACAACTTTCGAAAACAGAGGCCATTCAGATTATAGTATAGAGGGGGAACATAGGCGTCAGTAGGCATTTGCTACACGTTGCAGCAGCACAGTCCTCTACAATTAATTTCAAATAGTGAGAAATTGGCCCATTTCACTCTTCTCGGGAGGATAGAAATGATCGACATGCTGGCTCATCGCAGTATTATCATCTGATATTAAGACTGAGGATGCAGTTATGAGAACAGAACTCTAAAGTATGTAATCCAACACAGCTCTTAAATTTAATGCATCTGCATTAAATATTTTAGGTCACTCTCAAATATCAAAGAAGAAAACACCCCAAAACAAACAAAACACAGTATCTCAAAATGTGATTAAAAAGCTTCCCCATGTGCTGCAAACCCACCCCAGCTGACCTGGACTCAACAAAGATGTTTACAGACAGAACGCTGACTACAGCACAAATCACACAACACAGAGCTGCAAAACAAGAGGGAAAAGTCTTTTTTTTACAGCATTTAGACACGAAACATTACTTTTGACTGCACAGTGACTTATGTTCAGGTGACCAGAAAGTTTCCACATTACCACCGACCTCTTCACTGTTCTGCTGAGGCAAAATTAGTGCTCTCATCCCTTGTATTCGACACCAGCCTTTGTTTTGTTCTATGACACAAAATAAAACTTTTCATTGCAAATAACCACAAAAGCATCAGTAGTCCATTGCGTTTGATCACAATTTATACCCTAACCTCTTTAAAAGCTTTCCACCAGGCACATTTGAACTGAAAATATATCTCTGCCTAAATGGAGCGTTACTTTAACAGCCTAGCCATTTTGAGGGGGTGACATTTTGGGTTTCAGCTGTTTAAGGAAAAGTTCTGCAGCAGAGGAAATGTGTCCACACAGAGGTAGTTAAATCTGTCATAATCATCCGTTGATTGCCCTGATGGGCCCATATTTCACATATATTTCATAGATGTTTAGTGTTTCAGATAAGATAAAGACCTGGTTGATGTAAAGTTGCAATATATAAGACAGATAAGATGCAGTACAGTACATAAGTACTCTTTCTGTTAAAAAAAAACAAGCATGATCAGGTAACTGGAACCCCCCTGCTGGTTTGTCAGAGGGTGGCATTTTGTTGCTTTCGTTCATGCAAAGATAATTGTATCAGAAGTTGTGACAATAGCTAGCTAAAACAGTTATTCAGTGCAATACTTCTGTCATCAGCAAGAATGAACTCTGGAAGACGAATTCTGTGCATTTTCTGATATGGCACGTAATCTGTTGCCACATTATTTTTTCAGATGTACTTTGATTGAGTTTGATTTGATAAGAGCATTAACCCAAAAATCTAACTGATCTTGTGTAACATATTTTTTGATACTGCTATGAGCCTCACTAATGCCACTCAGATCAACACTCATGTCAATAATACCATGCAGAGAAATCCTGACAAAAGCTATAACAACAGCCGTTCACTGAATTTACAACATGTTCAACGTCACTGCCCAGATAGAATAATTGATCACCTAGTGGTTTTGAAAGAGTCAAGTGAGTTGTAATTAGAGAAGATAAGAAATAACTGGTTCACTTGGCGCCTCAGTGCCTCAGTGTGAGATGCATCTAAATGATGGAGCAGAGGTGATACGAAGCTGACATTTTAAATCCAAACACTTAATTGGTCTGCTGTGCACAAAGGAGTCAGAGTTACTATTTTTGGAAAGGGCTCAGTACACAGGGCTCAGGAGGGCTATCAGGCAGCCTTACAGCACTTAGAGTATTATGAGCTATGGCGAGAGAGTTGTGACAACAAGCAGAGAACGCAGAGCAAGTAGAGGAAGAGGTGAAATGGGGAAAACACATAAACACACACATACATACACACAAACACACACACACTGAGACATAAAAACAATAAAACGCACCCACAGCAGTACAAAACACAACAAACAAGTTTAAAAAAAAGAAAACGAAAAACCACCCCAATAAAGTAACAGCTTGACATACTGAGAATGCGTATTTGTTTTCTGGTGGAGGTTTAGATTGAATAATAGAAAAGGATTAAATAAGAAATAACAGCCAGCTGCTGTAAGGCTTTTTGGGCACTACAGACATTATATTAACATAACATAACAACATGAAGAGGTAACAAAGTCCATCTACCAACATCTTCTATCCCTGAGCGTTGTCATGAATGTAGTTTTTTACTTTCACTTTTCATCAGTGTGTATGAATGCATTTTTGTAAAAAAGAAATAAATGAATTAAATAAATAAAGCTAGATTTAATCTTTAAAATATTTAAGTACATTTTTAGAAAATCATTAGTTAGTAAGCCTGATTTCACCCGAACAGCTTCTACTGATCTGATATCTCCTCTCCTCAACATCAAGTAAAAAGTCACAGCAGAAGAAGCCAGTTGATCCTCATGAAATCAACAAGTAATTTAAAATACTTTTAGCTTCCACTGTGTAGCGCTGGTCGCTTCACTTCTTTTTGTGCAGCCCAGTTTCATTCAGAGCGTACGACAGCTCCCAGTGCAAAAATACATCAGTGTCAATGTAAAGGTACGAAAAGTGGTATGACAATTTTGTATGTTACTGTTATTATATTTCTGGGGCATTGCTCATTTAGTTTCATATTGTACTCACTCACCAGCCATACATTTCTTTCTCTACTTCTTGGCATCCTATTAACGTTACCAATCAATATTACCAACATTAAATGCTCAATTCATGGAAATAATCTTTAGACAAATCCTTGTGATTCACAACATTTCAAAAAGTGCACAGAAATACTGTATTTTTTCTATTTTCTTTAAAGGGTATCGCATGTTTATTTAAGGATAAAACATACACTAGTTGAACGTTTTTACACACCTACTCATTCATTGACTGGTGTATAGATATATAGGTGAAACAGATTTGACATGATCATTGCTTAAGTGCTGGTAGGTGGAGTTTGTTTTATTCAAAATGCCAAAAATCTGACCTGTCTGCTGTAGCCTCATCATCTGATAAAACCTCTTAGGAGAGTAGTCTTTATCACCGTATGTAACTCTCTTCCAGAAGGCAAATGAGCATGCTTCTTCAAATGTCAAGCTATTCTTTTAGTATCCCATTACTCTGAAACCTTTAAAAAAAGTCAACGACAGTCAGCCCTCTGGGGAGAATGTATTTGCCCAAATTCAGTATAATAAAGCAAAGTCTGTTAGATTATCATTAAAGCAGATTTGAATACTTGGATTTGAGAGGCCTGGTTGTTTCAATGAGAAAAATGTTCATGCAAAACAGTTAAATCTGCTCTGAGGGTTGTCGGTCTCCATGGTAACGCTCCATGGGCTACAGGTGAGATGCAGAGGGTCTGGTGAGGCTAACAGGGCTGTAGGCAATGGGGGCTGTCAAACATTTTTTTATATGTACACTCATAAATTGTTACTTTCTCTATTTGTAACATAACCATCAATATGGGGACTAAAAGACTTATAGCTTTTGATTTCCTCTGTCATCAAAGGCTTTGCTTGGGTTTCCTATTTGCCATTAGGACATATGAGTTCATTTGGACCAATTAGTTGCAAATGGAAACCATCTAAAAGCTATTAGTTGAAAGAGAGTCCGGTTTCTGTCAATGTTAGGGCAGTCGTCAGAATCACAGCAATATTAGGGGATGCGGCTGCACATCCCCGTCAGGTGCTGTGTGGCCGGCAGTGCATACTAAACACCATCTCATGCCTGAAAACAGAAACACGAGGATTACCAGAGATGAGCAAAGCCTTCTGTTAAAAGATAAGTGGCCAGGCAGCTTTACAAAATGAGGTTTTTCTGCCCCCGTTTGGACTATTAATGCGACCTTTTGACTGCTCAACGTGATACATTGATCAACCTTTGGGTTTAGCTGGAATATCTTTGTGTTATTTGTAAGACACAAACAGCAAAACACTTGAGAAAAATATTCAATTATGTCAAATTATTACGCTGCCGTTAACGTCCAATCTCATTTTCCTAACTGGTCACACAGCCTTGTGCGATGTTTCCACAGTGTACACAAGCCCCTGTTCTTTACAGCCCTGCCCAGACAGAGGGGTCCCTTACCAGCCAGGACTGAGACTCACTTGGGCGTGAGGCGAGGGTCTCCATAGGGAGCATAGGGAGACATGTTCAAGAGGAACTCCTTGGGTGGGTAGGAGCTCCACCTCTGCTGCACATTGCTGCTGTCATTGTTATTCCAAAAGTCTCTGTCTAGGTCACTGCAGCCGGAGAGAAACAGTGACAAGTCAGACAGGTGACAGCAGAAGTCACAGATGTGATAAAAGAAGTAAAACATGTAGACAGGCTTAAAGTAATCTGTATTCACAGTGTGTTTATAGAGGATACATGTGATGGGAGCAATGTGTGGTAAAGAATTATTCACAGACTGCTCTCTAACATAATAGGTACACTAAACATTTTGACCTGATGCCATAAAATATTGGTACATGTAAGAAGGAAGTGACCCGCACCCTCTTCCACTCAACCAGGGATGAATAAAAAATAAATAAAACAGAGGAAATAGAAAAGTCAGCGTATAACATTCAATCATATCAGATATATCAGATACTGAGTGGATTAAGTGATAACAAGCGTCAAAAGTAGAAACTTATTACCAGAATACTATATACTTAAAATTAAAATAACACAATGTTGGTAAAATGATTTACACCTAAAAAACTACACAGAATATGCAAAAAAGTCAACAAGTCAGAAGAAATCTTTTTTGTTGTTGTTTATGTTAATACATATGTTCATTTTAATTTGATGACTTTTTAATGACCAGGGGCAACAAAAGTCCAGATAAGTTTTGCAATGCTTAAAAACATAATTTGGTGAAACATTTCACCACTAATGAGGTCAGCTGGCAACAGGTCAGCAACATGACTGTGTATTAAATAAACATCTCAGGGAGATTTTTAGAAGTTAAGATAAGGAACTAGTTACTTCTCTGGAAAAGTTTGAACAACTAGTGTAAAAGTTTAAAATATATATTTCTCAAAGAAGAATTGTAAATGTATTAACATTGAAAGAAATCCACCCTTGTGGAAAAAGACTAAACATGAATAACCAATGACCCAATGGATTTTTTGGGCCATCATGCTGCTTAGAATAAAAATCTAAACGCTTCACCACTGAAAAAGAGCCGAAAAGTTGAAAAGATGCACAACTTTCCCTTTCCCTCAGCCTGGGCTCATCTCAGCCAGACTCAAGCAGCATGAAAAACCTTTCTGATGTCCGACAAATCTAAATTTCAAATTTCTTGGGGTAATTACTGACACCATGAGACCATCTGGGTTTGTGATCAGCATGTAATTCAAATGCCAGCATCCATGATGGCACAATGGTGCAATAGTAAACATGGCACAGGTCACATCTGTGAAGGCACCAATGATGCTGAATGATACATAGGTTTTAGGAGTAACATATTTTATTCAAATGCTGTCTTTTATTTGGATGGTGGTGTTTGTTTAACAATAGCATACCATAGATCGGTCTGTAACATAGAATTTCATATCATCAGATTTCAGGTGACTAACAGAAAAAAAAACTTTCATCCAATGAAAACATTCAAGGCACATTTTTTTGTAAAAGTTGTGGTGCCATCAAGTTAAAAAACAGCTTATATTTGAAAAAAAACACAATACCTGGAATTTTGTAACAACTGATGTTTGTTTAATTGTTCAGAATCTAAAACTGTAATCTGAATCTTTGCTGAATTAAAAAGCAGAAAATGCATGCCACCTGTCCACACTCAGCTCCCAAGACTTTCTAAAATTCATCAACCTATCTTAACTCTATCTTGAGGGCATCATTTCATGGTGGACATTCTGCTTGATGCAGGGAGCAATGAGATTAGCTTTGCAATCAGAAAAGGCTGTTAAAATGCGATACTATCTCCACATCATAGATCATTTCCATGCACCTCCATCTACTTCCTTCCTGACACCTACTTGATGGCTTTATTTTCCCCTCGACCTCTCACAGAATCTGGAGAGCTAGCAGCCTCCACCCCTGGCTTATTCCTCTTCCCCTGCAGAGAGATGAGACACAGACACAATGAAACATGGGCAGATCTTACTTATTGTTTACAAATGCATTCAATCAGTCGAACCATTCACAACGCCGACGTTAGAGCAGCATCAAGTTCTATCATGTGCGGCAACATGTCAGAAACGAGGAGAGAGCAACTCATGTTTGATGCCAGAGAAACAGCTGACTCTGAGGATCAGACATGACAAAGGACCACTTCACTTCAATTAGATGCAGAAACACACTCCAAGAAAAAAACACAATATCCAAACACACCAAGATAGGAAAGCAAGCACTTAAAATACTCGTCTGTGAAACAATCTCACAGTTGCATGAGACAAATAATGTTTTTACTCATCACATCAGAATATTAATTATCTATACACTTACATAAAATTGTTTTATACATCTTGCCTCTTTTACTAATTTATTATAGTTTCCAGAAAGTGGAATTAAAGCAAGTAAGAGGTAGAAATAGTTGATAGCAAAGCTACTGTTTAAAAAGTGCAACGGGATAGCTCTCTTCTCACCAGCAGCATCCCAACAAAGCAAACTCCACTAAAAATCAGCCCTCTATAAGTATTAATGAACAGATGTTCAGTGCAGTGCCCTTTTAGAAATTGGCTCATTATGTTTCACACACTCCTCATTCTCAGTTGGTAAAATCAGATCATAAAAAGTATGACTAAACATAATTCTATTTAATTGCATGGACTGACAGCCTTCTGAGATTTAACACTACAGATCTTACACAATTATACCTGAGATAGTGTAAAAACACACAGCAGGAATAATAAAAAAAAACAATATTCGGGATTCAAAAACAGCTTTGATGAAAGAACTGCTTTTACACCAGATCATTTTCGGGCAAAACATGTTTTTGATGTGATATAACAGAGCTCTTTCTTTAACTCGTCAGTTTTCAACCAATAAATTGCGCTTTCAACTGAGAAACATATAATAGATACAATTGTTGTCATTTTGAAAAATTCTATGTTTATTGAACTCTTGAGGCTGATATCACTGAGCTCTATCCTGCTGAGTCATTCCCATCTGCTCTTATGTAACTCTTTTCTATTGTAAACTCACAAAAAAGACAAACATAGAGTGCACACTCCATGAAAAGTTCACAAAAAGTTCTCAAACTCCTGATAGACAAAATTATACATTTGTCATATTAGGACAGACATAACAATTTCAGACTTCAGTGTGTTTAGGAAACTCAGCTGCATCTGTAAATGTTGCGATAATGGCTAAAATGGCTAAACATAGGTGATTAATATGTAATCTTAGCACTGAGCACTGAGCACTGAGCACTAAGCACTCCTCAAATTGACATTTGGCAAAGGAAACACTTGAGAGTGCTGGTTGTTGTGTGAAATTGCTCATAACTATTAATTTCAACTTCAAAAATGAATAAATACGATGTAAATCAGTTTTTCATTGCAATTATGTTGCTGGTAGCAGATGCTAATTTAACAATTAAAAGCTTTATAAAACAAATAAAAATTTCCCAGCTTGTAATGATTTGTATCCCCCTCATCCAGATACAGGGTTAGAAGTCTAAAGAGCACTGAAGAGGATAAACAAAAACTTTTTGGGTGGTTTCATCAGAGGATTTTTTTGTGCCAAACACATTCTCATTTCCAGTGTGTTAAATACAACTATTTGTCAGAGACTGTGGCTTCTTTAAGACACAGACCTATACTGCCCTTTGGCGGTGGTGGTGATATTAGACACCAACGGCAAACCCAGCAAATGTCAAATGACTTTGAATATGCAACAATATCCTCATAAGACCCTTTCATGGGTGAATCACAGGCTTTTGAAAACATGAGATCCCCTCGAAATAGCAATGTTTCCGCTCCCTTATTTGATTTAATTTCACCTAAGAAGGGGTCTTACCAGAAACAGCAGTCTGGACAGCAGCTACATCTCAAAGTTACACTGTATGAAACTTTCCCTGTTATTCCAGGAACAGAAGTACGTTTTCTTTAAGGGGAACTAGATCATAATTTTATGAGCTCTCGCTGGTTTGACTTGTAGAGAGATTCACTATAAATAAGAACATTACATTACTTACTAGAAAGTCCAAAATTGAAGTTGGAAAGGCTGCTGTCAACATAAGTTTGAACTTTCTGTCACGTCTGGGGGAATGTCTGGTGTCTCGTCATGTGTTGATTACCTATTGTGTACACCTGGGATTCCCCTCCCTCATGTGTTTAAATAGTCCTCGTTTCCCATGTCCTGTGCCAGTTCGTTTGCGTCTTTTGCGTCTCTCGTCCCTCGTCTTTCGTCTCCCCATGTCACGTAAGGTTTTGGTTTTTGCCATAGTATTATTTACTTTGTTCCATAGCCATGTTTTTTCACAGTTTTGCCACCGCCTTGTTTTTTAACCTTGTCTGGACTTCCACCCTTTTGAGTATTTTTGTTCCTATAAACCTTGTTTTTCGTCATCTCCGCGCCTGAGTCCTCCCTCAAAACCCACCTCCCTGACACTTTCAAGACAAAGAAGTTTGTGCTTGGATCAGGCATTAAGATTACATGGACCGATAAAGGAAACGGTCATAGTGTGAGGTGTCAAAAACTGAAATTTTAGATGTGAGGCTTTCTTAGGTTTCTAATTCATCCATTCATGCCCACAGTGCTTATCATTATGCCTTAGCTGATGAAATATGCAGCACATTTACTGAACAGTCACATACTCAATGAGCATATTGGGTCAATATGAGGGCCTCTCACAAGGACACTTTGAGATGTTGAAAGGCTGCAGATGGAACCGGTCAACACGAGTCTTCTGTGTGAGAGATGACCAATAAATCATCCATGGTCACCCTACATCAAGCTACTACTTATCTGGAAAAAAGTGGTACATTTTGGCCAATCTGACAATAATTATGGAGATTGAAAACAATTATGGAGATGGATAATCGCAGCCATTTAAATGAGATGAGTGGGTGCTCTTCAAGAAAAATCGTACTCTCGTGTGGGACACTCAGAGTCATTACTCACGACTTTAGAAAATAGACCAGTGTGTGTTTTCATTTTTAAGCACAACATGCTGAGCGCACATCCCATCACAGCTCGTCTGGGGTATGTGGCTGCTGCATGTCACGGATACAACCTTTTCATATTCACACTTGTGTGCATTCCGCTTTCTAGCTGACTTTAGCTGGATGTCTTTGGACTGTTGGAAGACCCTGGAGAGAATCCCAAGCCTACAAACAGAATTTACAATTTAAAAAGTCCCAGCTGAGCAGGAGCTTCACACCCAGGACCCTCACGTTGAAAGTTGACAATGTGAGCCATCAAGACCCCACGCTGCTGTAAAAGTCTGAAAAGGAGGTCAGCCTGACATCAGGATTTGCTCCGCTGAATCAAATAGTGTTCATTCAATTATTGATGAAAGTGAATGGACTCTCTGAGGAGCAGCTGTCACAGGTTTTCTGTTGAAAACGATGACTGTATTGCATTTTCACAGCCAAAAACACCTGCACAAACCCGGTCAGATTATGAGGCCTTTAAATAAAACATTTGAAACACTCTATGCAAAGAGTGGCAAAGAGCTGTAAAAATCAATAACTGAACTGTGCTGTTGAAATGAAAGTATCTGAATTTTTTTGTAACTTCAACCCCAAAAAGCTTGAATTAATCTTAGCCTAAGCCTAGAGACCACCTGGAGTTATTAAGGCCGTGTTATACATATTTAATGTCTCCCTGGGAGACCTACAAACACAGAGCACGAGTTCTTGTTTCCTCACATTTGAAGAGTCACAGGAGGTCACATGTTCAGTGAAAGGGGTCAGAATTCCTGACCCAAAAATGCCTCACGTTCAGCAATGGGCCAGATTCAACACGTATGAAAGCATCAGGATGGTTAGGTGCTCTAAACAAACCATCACCCAACTAACCATAGTTGTGTGTGGTGAGGAGAATGGTTCTTGTTTTCAGAAAGATAATGCTTGAGGTAATCATACATATCCAATGGTCCAGACTTTGTCTTTAGGAGTTATTCTCAATTTCTAAACTAAGTGAAATATGCAATCCTTGGACTCAAGAAATAATGCAAAACAAGCTGGAGCCTTCGGACTTTGAAACGATGTGAAATATTTATCTTAATATAGCTATCAGAACCCCGCAGACAGGGGACCTCCTCATGTATCCTATAATGCATTCTCTCTACTCTGCATCTATCTGTAATGCAGCTACAATAAACTCCATTATTTATCATGCCACATCTCGTATGCCCCGCTCAGCAACACAAACAGTGTCAATAGACAGAGAGGCTTGGTGCCTGACCTGATCTGTACCTAGTACACCCGTCCCCCACACTGTAAACACGTGGAATAATATGAGATTCAGGGACGAAGCGACTGATTATAGATTCTCAAGCAGTCAAGAATGTACTATCAAGCTCATCTATCATTAAAAGAGAGTCATGAAATCTTCAGGAAGCTGGAGGAGAGAGGGTGGAGAAGGTACAACGTGGAAAATGTGTGTGTGGGGAGCCAACGCTGAAAGCAGGAGCAGCTGAGTGTGATGACAGAGTGACGGGGCGAGTGAGAAACAGAATGAGGCACGACGTAGGCTTGAAAGAGAATGTGGAGAAATGACGGTGAGCAGAGGATGATAGAGATATCACATGAGATGAATTGGACAGACCGTGATTCCCCATTTAGATCAGCGTGGTACTCCCAAGTCAACATGTCTGTCACACATCTGGATGTTTAACATAATAGCACTTTTTTTTTGCCTTCCAGCCTCCCTGAATGTGTCCGTTTCTGCTTCAGCACCCCACTTCCAATCTCTTCCTACACTCCTCCCATTTCCTTTCCCTGAAAACAACCAAGAGGCCAGAGTGTTTTAGCTCCCTTGGGGGATTTACTTCAATACGAATCTCTTTTTTGTACACTTTTCCATGCGCGGCCCAACAACAGAACGTTTAATAACTAGGTGTGTTCACAGTGCAAAATATTGCTTTTCATAATGGAGGCAATAAAATTGTGAGGGTCAATCCATTGATACGGCCCACATTTTCAATTATGTTAAAATGTCACGCATTCTCGAATGTTGCAAAATCATTATATTTTCGGTGCTGTTAATGTCCTTTCGTTATCTTTTCTCTAATTCTAACACAAGGACATTTAGCAAGGTGGGAAACACGCTGACAGAATTTGTTGCAATCCTACCTTTCAATCCAAGTTTGAGCCCCACTTACTGGAGACTGTTCAACTTTGCTCTATGCTGTAATTGGTTCATGCAGTTAAGGCCACATACAAATAAAAACATAGTTTATTTTTACACATGGGGTTATTGTACCTGTTACATATTTCCTTGAGAGAATGGGATCACAGTTCCAACAGTGATCTTTGTTTTTAAGAACATTGGAAAAAGACACGTCTGACAAACGACAATTAAAGAAACAGAACATAATATAATGTAGTCAGGATGTCAGACTTCAAATATGGCTTTCAAATATTTGAATGTGCGTCTTAAGATCAACCTGTTTACTATTCTATATGATCCCAGCAAAATCAAAGAATGTAGCCACGGTTTGGCCTTATTTCTAAAGGAAAGAACTAGATAATACAAGGCTTTTCAAACAATTTTTGCTTATGTTTGCATAATTATGTTGCACATTCAAAAGCACTCCTGTCACCTTTTTTGTTTAATTTTGGCCAGAATAGATTAAAACATATGGAAGCGGCATGTGTTGTGTTTCTGAGGGAAAAAGTTTGTATTATCAGACATTTTTCACAATTTCCCTACTGGCTGAGTCCATGCTAGAGTGGATCAGCTGGAGGGTCTACATTAATAAACCTGGCTGTGTGTGCACAAAACCAGAGGTGGGGAGACGCTGTGTTTGTGCTGCCTGGTCTTCACATTATGGATGTGTGCGTCTGTGTGTGTTGCGTGGATAATTACGTTTGCCACAAAGGATTCAGTGGGTGCATGAGCTCATGAGGTTCTGTTCAGAAGAAAAACAGACCTGCTGCTGTCAAAGGAATTGTTACATCTATAATGCACAGTGTTTCCATCCAGCTGTGGTGATGCGAATTATAGAAAAATATACAAGGAAGTTTTCATGTTTTGAAGTGATGGAAAACCTGGTGTTTGGAAAGGAGGGGAATGTCATTCGATGGAAACGGGTTCAGTGGGAGTTTAGTGAATAAGTGACGACATACAGACGTCCCACGGCAAATGCGCACACGCCTGTTAGCAGGACTCTTCCAAGACCACACAGCTGTGCATTAGTTATTCAAAAGTCTCCGTTCCCATAGTCCACTGCGGTGTCTGTCACCAGGCTTTCCATTATATTGATTTATTTAGTGTATTTTCTTTGGTTGAAGTGGTGCTCTTTTGATAGTATCATCTCAGTGTCTTCTATGGTTCTGACTGCAGAATGGCACTACATACCACCTACTAAAATAAAGTGACACGATTGTAAGGCAAATATGAATGCAGGTCTATGGACACACTCATATTTTCCTGATCCTGAGACCACAATATAAGATTTTTTAAAATACATATATTTCATTAAAAAAAATGTAAATGTTTTAATCTAATTTACTTATGTTATATTTCCACATCTGGACTGGTTTTAATATATTTAGGTCTGTCTCATTTCCATTTAAAAACCTGGTCATGTCTACATTTGTTGAAACAATCAAAAGGCTTATAACCAACAGCGTAAACAAACCAAACCATGGATGCTTGGTGTCATCACTATTTTCCTGCTCAAGTTCCTAAAAAAGACTTATATCTTCCCTTCAAGTTCAACTGTCTGGCCCTCCTCCACTTCATACCCTGTCAGTTTTATGTTTGATTTCCCCTCATCTTCTGTGAGGAAAAAACATTTATACCTCACTGAGCTCCCTGAAGTATGGACTTTGGTAAAAAAGGGGAAGTTGAAAGTCCTGCTGTCGTCTACAAACGACACTGAATAAAAACTGTTTTCAAAGGGCTGCAATCAGTGCACATTTTTCCAAAATCTCCCTGAAGACTCTTTTTACCCTCTTCTGCTGAGAAATAGCAAGAAAATCATTTGCATGAAGAAAATGTAACATCTTTTCTTTTTAAGGTCGATAAATGGCTTTGTGACCTTCAAAAAATGTAAATGTTGCAGCTAAAAATCCAGATTGTCACCTTAACTGTACTATAATACTGGACAATAATTAATAATTTGACTGGATAAAAGGTGTTTTAACTAACTGCTCTCAGACTAACGTGACATTATCATAAGAGTACAGAACTTACCTACCTGAATATTCCAAATGTGTCGTGAGATTGAATTTTTTTGGACTTTATTGTTGTTCCATCAGTTCCTCTCAGCCTTCTGTGTCCTGTTGCACTTTTCATTGTGACTTCATTCATTTTATTGTCCAGTGTTTGTTCCTGGCTCTTGGTTAAGTTTTTAGCTTTCCTTTTATTCCTGTGTCTCCACCACCTTCACTCATGTTCCACAGTTTTCTCTGTTTCTTTTTCTTTGTGTTAGCTCTATTCATCCATGTTCCCTGTGCCCTGCTGCATTCATTCAGTACTCACTTTTCTTTTTAGTGTATAAAAGCACTCTGGCTTCATTCTCTCATTGTAAGGTTTTCATAATTTCACGTCCATCACCTCTATGCCTGTGTATTTCCCAGTAAGCCTGGTATAATTTTCCTTAGTCCTTTGGGTTATGTTATTCCTAGCACTGTTTTAAATCTCTTTTAGTGATAAAACTGGTCAATAATTTGTTTCACGTGTGCAGAGGACAAAGCACAAAAAAGGAAGAACTTTTGATAAATGACAAGGATTATGGAATAGAAACTCCATTGACAGTAGTCAAGAGTAGAGATAAACGATCCTTAAAAGAAAATCATTCATGACAAGAACATGGAAATGAAGTTAGAAACATACAAAGCCGACAGTTAAAATCAGCAGGAGTGGGTCACAAAAACAAAAACATAAAAATAGATAACTTAAGAGTAAACAAAGAGAGGAGAAAAATGCTTTTTAAGGTTTTATTGGCAACTTCTCTCTCATTTACAATAGATGTTTTCCATCTGAATAGCCCAGTTTACTCTCAGCTTGTGTATGTTTTATGAAGAACTGTGCTGCACTCACCACGCAAACAGAGACCAAAAGGAGGAAAACAGAGCAGCGTGTCGGGAATGCCAGCAGATCACAATGTATAGAAGGAATTACAGTTGCCTCAGCAGCCAGAAGCCCAGAGTCATTCTCATTACCATATGAATCATTAGCATGGTGCTCGGGGCCGGAAGAAAAAAGCTATGAAGCACAAAGCTCTAAGCGCACAAAGTCATATGTAAGAAGGAGCAGTAATGTTTTTTGTCATGGCCCAACATGCAGCCTCTCACTTGCACAAAACACGACAAAGCAACACTGCAGAGTCCACATTCAACCACACATTCAACAAGGTCGCAGCGTTATCAACAAAAAAACCTGACCCCCCCCCAGACAACCGTAATTCGTTTTCATGGCCATTTGCTCCGAAACACTTAGAAATAGAATGTGGTGGGTGGAAAAATGTTAGTTGTGTGGGAAGACAGGTTTCCGAAGAGAAATTATTATAAAATCCATGCTGCAAAGTTTGTATGAAAACGCTGCTGGAAAAAAAAAATCATATCTGTGTTTCAGAATTAGCATATTTCCTTCTTGCAGCGACAGGAACAACACAAACATCTTCAACACATTCTCAGAGGACCAGTGCCTTTTTTTTGTCTCAACCAGCACATACAATTGTTATGGAAACTTCTTCAGTTTTACATCCATAAACACATATCATGTTGGTGGAGCCTTTTGCAGCTCTGTCACTACAGAGACTCCTGTTTGAATCTCGTGGTATTTCTGACATTCATTTCCTCCAATTTATTGAAAAATACATTGATTTTTAAGAAATATTAAAAGGAATAAATCTCTTTTGTGCGATTCTGTTCAGAGAGACATTCAGTTTTAATGGTCTTATTTTATATTTGTGGGTGGATGGCTTCACACTGAACATTTCTTTTGTGACACAGTAATAATATACTTTTTCTGGCAGTGAAGAGCTTCAGTGTGAAAACAGACCTGAAACCAAACCACAGCTAAACAACAATAGTTGCCAAGATCTTAAACAGTATCAAGTTGCCTTTAATTCCGCCAAAACCATGAGGAAAAAAGTATGACATTCCCGTTGACTACTTTGGGAAAGAGAAGCTACTTTTAAAGTCTAATCTAGCAACATTTGCCTACTAATACTCTGAACGTTAAATAGATGCAAAACAAATCTACTCTCATTTAGAAAGGTTACGATCACTTAAACAGGATTGATGACTTAAGCACAAATCAGCACTGAAAAATTCATGGTGAAATGTGAAATACTGTAACTTACCAGTTTACGCTGACACCAGGTGCAGACGCCACAAAGAGCTACCAGCCAAACAGCACATATTACGAATGCAACAGAAAGCAGGAATACACTGAGAGACACTGAGCCTGAGGAGGAGAGACAAAGACAGGGAAGAGAGAGACAGAGACACATAAAGACCAGGGTATTAGTGCATTTATTTGTGACACATGTCCTGTTCAGGCTCCTAAGGTTTAAAGCATACATTCATTCGTGAACCATCTAAAGGATGCAGTGTGACAATGAGACGCTTGCTAGGGAGAGCTACACTTTGGGAATTTTCAGGAGCAACGCCTTCTTTCCTTCCTTTCCCCTTTCATCCAAATCATCTGGCACCTTTCATCAGTCAGACGTACACAAGAAATTTAAATCGGTGCAGCAGAAAAGACATAAAGGCACTGGAGCACATTCTTGCTCATGTTCCCTGCATGTTTTAAAGGGAAATGTGCACATGTTAGGAAGAGATAATATCACGAGGCCAGATACCGTGCAATTACCAGCCCCCGTTTTCACTCCTCCATCTCCAAAACCCTTTACAAAGTTTGTTCCTGTCTTGACAGTTGATCTGTGTTTTTTTCCACAGTGCCTTCTATTTTCTTCCATATTTCTTTCGGTTTCTGCCTCTTAACCAAACCATTCATTCAGTTATTCACTGTGTAATTCAAAGTGCAAAGGCAGAAAGGCAACCAATTAGCTCATAACCACAGCATCATTTCCTCTGCAACACAGTTTGTGATTGTTTTAAGATGCACCAGAATATCCCCTTTCTTCTTCCTCTTAAAGTCACAGGTAGCACACCCACAACCTCTAGAAACTTGTGAGGTCGCCATCGAGATAATCAATTGGCCAAGCCGAGCTCTTTTCTAGATTTAGTTTTTTTTCTAATTCTTTCTCATAAGCTTTATGTTTGTTTTCCAAAGTATGCTATCTAAGTCTTTTGATTAGGATATTCTCTCATTGCCTTCCAGGATTAGCTTTATCTTTCTTTTACTCCTTGTTTAACGGTAACCTCGCTTTCAAAGACGTATTCGCTTTGAACAGATAAATGGCTCCAATCTTTCCTTTGTCAAATTAGAGCAATATATTCTCCAGTCAGAAGATAAAAAACAGCCATGTGGAAATGAGAATTTCCCTTCTGCTGTCAGACCTCCTGAGTGGAACAACAGGTCTGACAAATTTTTAGTCAGCAGGTTATTATGCACAGGGTCATTTTATGATTTAAGCCCCACAATTCAAATTCAGATGAGTCTCATGACTTAAGGTAATCTTTAACCCCATAAGTTTACAGTAACAGGATGAGTCGATCAGAAAATCGTACACATGCAAGAAACTTCTGATCTTCTGACCTTTGACCTTTTTAAATGCTTTCAATACACCTAGTTTAGCATTTTGGCACAACATAAAGAAATTCAAAAATGGTTAATGGTCTGCTTGCTCAGACATAGAGATTATATATTTGTCTGCAGTCATGTATAATTTCTGGTAGATATCTGAGTTTACATTTCTATAAAGCAAACACAGACTCACTCATGCACGTGATTTGATGAGAAAGTTTTCACCAAATGTAGTTTTTTCACCTAAAAAATAAGATGAAGGAATATTAAAATCTCACTGTTCACATTCAATATTACATGTAAAAACCACACATCTAACATCTATCAATACACGGCACATTTTGTATCCTCACCAAACCGATATGAGGGAAAAGGCATTTAAAGCGGCTCTTCTGCTGACACTGGAACACTGAGAGTGAAACATAAGCCCCTTTCATAACACCAACTAAGTGAATCAAAATGTCATAACTTGTCCATTTGTTTTGAATAATCTATGTAAATACTGTATGTACAAACATATGAAATTGCAGTGGTGGGTCATAACTCACATGAATTAACTTAGGGGAAATGAGCCGCTCTGAGACACGGAGAGAAGAGACTCGAAATAAAATATATTATGACAGAAAGCAGAGGCAATGCATCAATAATGCTTCGCTTCCTTTAATCTTACCTTTCATCCAGTTTTATTTTTGGCCACAACACATTGTGAGAGTAACAAATTACGATTTCAACTTTGTGTTTTGTCTCTTTGGACATCTGACGTTTGTCATCACATATCTTCTTGTCCAGCTATTTTTAAACCAATAGCAGTGTAAAGAATCCTCTGTCAAAGAGGGGTTTTTCACATCTGGCCTCATGTATCTTATTAGTTCATTGTAGATATTTATGGGATGTTGGCATGAGTAGGTGAGAGCCCATTAAGAATAATTAAATCTCTTTGGTCAATGTGGAAGCTTTACTGAAAGGACATTGGTAAGGACATTGGAAAGCACTTGTAATTTCAGTGAACTATATATACACAGCTGCATTTCTTTATATTTTGCTTCCAAGCTGCCAAACTTTCTTGTAATCTTTTGAAATGGTCTTTATTACTTCCCCAGGCTTTAAAAAAAAAAATCCTTTTTTATTATTCATTTTCCATTTCCTGTGCCAGACTCTTTTTGGGGGAATGTCCTTTCTTCTTTTTTCGCACAAACATTAAGAGCATATAATTGCAAGGATTGAACCACGATCTTTACAGGGTCTTCGTCAACACTCATCATTTCGTTATGGCTACTTGCCTAATGAAAAGAAAGCCGGTCTCTCTATTTGTTATTTGAAATTGCCCTTTAAAGAAGAGCATTTCATATGAGGAGAATCCTACGAAAAGGCTCACTCTCATGGACATTAGCCATACTCTCTCCTTCACCAGCCGTGCACTGCTGATTTGCATAATCACATTGTATCGCTGTGAGTAGAATCTAAATAAGTAAAACATACATAAAAATATAAAAATAGCAGGATATCAGATTTTATTATCCATGTGACATATGGCATATCCACCTACAGACTGTAATCTAATACCCGGTAGATATCCGGTCCCATTTAATGGCCAGTCTTGTTGCTGATCCATCCTTAGTGCTGCCTTTTCTCCAAATCCTCTCAAGCACCAATTTCTTGTCAAACCATATTACTGGTGTCACAATTCAGACCATTAATTCATTTCCATCTGCCAGTTTTTCCTCCATTTATTAGCATTCACGTCATTTTAGATCATGTCCTGCAGTAACCTCCAATTTTCTCAACAATTTCAGCCACCTAATTCCCTACACCTATGCACTCCCCTTCTCCCTACTACCGCATTAGCCACTTCACTATTCATCGCATTCAAGTTTCACTTATTTTCTAATTGATTGTCTTACATGTGGAATCCCACTTTCCTTTCTAGTTTTTTCTTTCTGTCTCATCAGATGGCCAGTTTTTACACCCTGCCAGCATTAGGTCTCTTTGCTCTGTTGATTTGATATTTCAGCCTTCAGTTAGCTCACACACTAATATGTCTGTTTTTCAGTTAAAACACATTTTTTTTAGAAGCCTTTCTCTTATTGGATCACAATTTAACAGCACCATATGCTGTATTCTCCACTGTTAGGTAGAGTTAATTTTTATGGAATAATCATAACTCAATAAACCTGTAGTTCAGCGCCATGAAGAGTGTCCTCCAGCCCCAGGCTTATGTCAGATATGTGTATCTGGAGATGTTTACGATGCAGTATGTGGAATTCGGACAGATTTAACTCATTGGCGGACTTCGCATTCTTTTCTTTATTATGTGTAATGTCAAGTCAAGTGGAGCTCTTGTATCTGAAATGCTCTTTCTGTGAATAAATTATCTTCATCTTATCCCATGTGTCATTTATTTGATCAAAGTGCCTTTATGTTTTAAGTACTCCCCTCTCCTCCATTTTAACACTGATTCCTGTCCTTGTGTGCTTCCTGCCTGTGCGATTGCTGTTCCTGAGTTGATTAGTTTAACCTGCTTCTCATTATCCTTCCTTCCCTTATGTATTTAGTCTTTGTGTCTCCTCTCTCATGATGCCAGTTCATCTAAATAGAATCAGGCAATAAAGTTTTTTTTTCTCTCATGTATAGACCTCCAAGTGTATTCAATCTCTGTTATCTATATGTTCAAGAAGCTTTGCAGCTGCTACAATGTAGTGGTCCAGCTTTCACACGTATGTTACATCAGCCCTCTAAATTCCGTTTGCAATCTGTATGATCTCTATTGCCAACACTAGAGAACTACAAATTCGCCTAAGAGATGAATCATACCCTCAAAGATCCTCTACCCTCAGGGACATCACCACACCATGAACATCTACTGCACAAAAAAATGGCACAGAAAAATGTGCAATCAACTAAAATGAAAAGAGAAATCAAGCAAACAGAAATTGACAGAAAATGCATTGTATGATAGAACTGTGGAAGCTCAGCCACTAAATCTAACCTGTGGAGAATTTTACACAAAAAAGAGAAACAACCATGCACCCAAATACTTTAAATACCCCAGCTTCTGCTATCTGATATTTTTTTTTATAAGGATAACTAACTGGTGGCGAACCAAAGAACATTTTGGAGAAATCCTCAACCCAATATTGTCCAGTTTTGAGTAATAAATGCTCAAAAACTTAACATGTACACATTGCTAACATTAAGTGTTAAGACAAAACAAGAAATTCATCTTTTGAGGCAGTATTTGACACATTCTCCATTGCAGAACATTAATCCTGGAGACAAAGGTCTGCACTACCTTTAATTTCATTAGATTTTTTTTACAACACAAAGGTTGCAGCCATACCTTGGAGAAAATACAGTTACAGCTAAACATGTCTCCTTTAAGAGAAAGGGTTTTGTGGAGGAAAACGTAAACTTACTGGCACAAATTTCCCGCTTTTGATATAAATGCTTCAATAAAGTTTGTCGGTTATAAAGATATTCCAAGAGAACTTCATCCAATTATAAAGATGGCCAAAGCACTATTTTGTAAGCACTGTAGCCTTGACTTTTTCTGTAAGAGGCTGAATTGAAAACTCACATTGTGCAGACCTTAACCCTTCCAGAAGTTTTATACAAAGTAAAAATAACATTCAGTTCTGCTCATGAGCGAATAAAGCACATGATTGTTCAGAAGAACAGTATATATGCTATTCAAAGTGGCAGTCTACTTTAGGATAAACTTTACAAAAATGCCTAACTGGAAAAAAAGGAAATATGAGATTCTGTCAGACTTGAGTGCTGCGCATCTAAAATAATCTATTACAG